GCCCCACATCTCTCCCCTTCCTTTCACGGCCAATCTAGGATTACCAACTGTCGTTGACCAAGACTGGGCTATGGCGGGTGCATGGTTGTGCCCCCTCGAAGCGGCCTCCACCTCAGCGCCMACACRCTCTCTCACCCCTCCGCCTCCGCCATACCCAACAGCAAGTTCTGGCTAAGCATAGCTTAATGACAGCTACCCCTGTGCGATCCCCCGCTGCCCACGCACCGTAATAGTGACGCGCTAACGCAGCGTTACCGCTGTGCTAGCGCTACCTTCTCTTCTTTTCCCTGTGTCTACTCTGGCGTAAGATGCATGTGTGTGTGCTTAAACACAAAAACACAGAAAAAAAGTCCGAAAAACAGAATGACACCGAAAAGTTGAGCTGGGCAGCAGATCCATCTGGCACTTACACAGAGATGGTCAGACACAAGGTCACAGCTAGACCTTCTTAAGCAAATAGGAGACGTTAGGAGACGGATCACGATTTTTTTTTACAGACTGGATAGGGGGTGGAAGAGAAGGTTGGATAGCAAAGGTGGAGTGGAGCGGCGACAAAAGAGAAGGGACACGAGAGTTAGAAGAGATGAGAGACAATAGATTGGTTTTTAACGATTGGACTAAAATAGAGCCCTCGTTCCCGCTACGCCCTCCTGCAGATTTCCCGGACCCCTTCCCGCCCCATGCCCTGTCACTGGCTGAAATCTTATCTTAAACATGTTCTGTTTTGTACTGCAGTTGATCTTTCTGTTCAGTCAATCCCCTGGACTCCGGGGCAATCAATGCTGACAGGAATCTTCTATTTTTCGGTTCTCTGCATGTACTGCTTGTACTATCTGTAAGGGACGCTGGACCCAGTTTCCAGCAGGTGTTGCTCCCCACCAATAGATGGAGCCTCTTCCTAGGTGGTAGTGGTGTCTTCTCCTATCAGCACCACTAACATTGAAGGAGAGTGTTTCAAAAAAAAAAAAAAAAAAAAAAAAAGAGGAACCCTCCCCGGTGCCCCCTGGGGCCAAGTCCGACTAGTGAAGAGTTACGCTTCACGGCCAGGTTTTCGACGACGTGGGACGTTCTGTGACAGGTCTCAGTCGCCGATCGGCTGCAGATCCACGCCCAGCGTTGTTTGGCCTCAGTTTCGTGTAGGGTCTTTTCGTTCGGCTAATAGGATGATTTAAAATTATTTTGGTGTTGTTTTTGTTGGCCACTTTCGTTGGGCGGGAAGCTTCAATTCTATGTTTTTTTTACCCATGGGGTGTTTTTGAAGCTTCCCGCCCTCATTCTTTTGTTTTTTTTAATGTGCAGAAATACACAATATCATAATGGCCTGAGAGCAACTACCTTCAGAGGACCCAGCCCATTGGCTGAGTCGAACTCTCATCCAGAAAAAGGGGCGACGAATGCGATGGCTCACAGCCTACTGGCTGATGCGAGTACCCTCACCTGAATTTCACTTTCTTTAGCTCATAGAAAGCAAGATTTTTAAATCCGAAAAAAATACAGAAACCATTTTTCAAATGCCAAAAGCGCGTCACACAACCCTGTTCCACCGTTTTAATCGATGCTAGTGGGACTTGGCCCCTGGGGAAGGGTTCCGCTAATCACGACATCTAGCCTTAGAAAGTTGTATCAGTGCTTAATGTTTCTTCTGGCGCCCTCCTCCGGGGGGTGAAGAGATACGGAGGACAACTAAACACAACAGGTTTACCTGCTCAGTCAATCCCCTGTGATACAGGGTAATCAATGCTGGCAGGCCTCA